GCTCTCCAGTGTTGCACTGGCTATTGCTGGGCTCTCCGGGGCTGCGTGTGGATCTCGCCGGGGCTGCGTGTGGGTCTCGCCGGGGCTGCGTGTGGGTCTCGCCGGGGCTGTACTGGCGATTGCCGGGCTCTCCAGGGCTGCGATCGCGTCTTACCAGGGAGATTTTCAGAATGTGGGCACAAATCCATATTAAGGAGAATATGAAAACACAGTACAGTATGAGTCCTGTTTGCAATTCAAGTCAGGACCCAACATTGTGTGGCCACAGTATTAACACTTAAGATGCTGATTCTTTACAGCTTTCATTCTTTGATGTTACTTTGTTTGCGTGTTACACCCAGGAGTGTATATTTTCGGCAATGGCACATGTTAGAAGCTTCTTAATGCTCTATTAATAGTAATGGAAGTGATTGTTTTGTGATCTTTATTTGAAGGCATCTGTTTGATTATCATGGTCATGTTTTGGCAGGCAGAGGCAAGGTTGGCGGCAAAGAGAGCAGCAAGAGCTGAAGCAAGAGAAATTCGAATGAAAGAGCTGGAGCGGCAACAGAAAGAGGTGAGAACTATACTGGTATTTACAATGTTACATTTCTGCTTTCCCTTTTTAATTTTAGAATTGGATGGGAGAGCTTGGGAGTTTTTTAAAATGTGAAAGTTGTTAAGGGCAAGTCCAGCAGGTAAGCACTCTCCGAAGGGGTGGAGGAAGTTTGGGCGCAGGTGGGCTGCTCCTGGCATGTGTGGACCAGGGTATCCGACGTTTGTGCTAGAGGAAACAAAAAGGAAAAAGAAACGCCACGACCTAGCGCAGATATAAGGGGTGACGCGTTGGGGTGAAGAATATGTGAGATGTTGTACTCGCATGTGATATGGTGGATCTGGGCTTCAGTCGACGACGGTCATGAAGATGATGCGAAATGAACTCTGATGTATTATCCAATTTGTTCAGATATCAATGTGTTAAAGGTGGTGGGTGATGCTGTAAATGATTCTGTTGAATGTTCGTTGTTTTGACCAAGTATCAATGCTGTAGGGGAGCTGCCAGCCTGAATCCTGTGGCGTGGAGGTCCCAAATATGCTTCTGACGTGGTAAATCAATAGGACAAGGAGATGATAGATGTTGCTGTGGGGGAAAGGTTGGCAGCTCCCATACAGCATTGATACTTGGTCAAAACAACAAACAACATTCAAAAGAATCATTTTACATCATCACCCACCACCTTTAACACATCGATATCTGAACACATTGGATAATACATCAGCGTTCGTTTCGGATCACCATCGTCGCTGAGCCCGCAACTTTTCTTAATGGTGAGTTTATGTATTTATGTATTACACAACTGCTTTCTGTTTAGACCAGATTACTCACCTTGTCAATATCAATTTATTTTGACACAAACATCATTACACCAGAAGTCCTACCACGAGTCTGACACGCCAGACATCACCCCACCATCTAGAGGTCATTCAACTAGAGCTGCAACAGTTAATCGATTTAGTCGATTAAAATCGACGATTGAAAACGTTGGCAACGTTTTCGATCGTCGATTCGTCGGCTATCGATTGATTTGCCTGTTCGGGGCTGTTCCGGGCTCCACATGCGGCCTGAGCCACACGTCACACGCTGCGACAGCCGTGCCCACGGCACAGGCCGCGTAAGCCAGACTGAAGCCCTGATCCACCAATTCACATGGGAGTTTTTTAAAAGTTGAACATGTACTTTAAAAAATGCACTTAAGTATGTAGTATTAATTTCAGAGCTCTACTGATTTGTCTGTCGGATAATGGGGAAGTTTACTGTACATTCATCCTTTCCTAGTACTGCAGAGCTTCCTTCTGTCATATAACTGCTTGAGCGATATTCTGTTTATTATGTTGGCCATTCCTGCTTGTCCATTTCGGTGCTGAGCTACTGGATCACTGTTATATTTCTTACCGTCACATGTAGATGACAACGTGATCCCAGTGAACTGAGAGCTGAATGCAGGAAATAGTTTTCTTCAGCAATGTACAAAATAAATTGGATATTTTGAATGGCCACCTTGATGTGTAATGTCCCTGTTTGGCCTGTTGATCTGCAGTAGACTCTATAGCTGTCTAAGAATTATTAGAGATAATGACTTTTGTGTATGAACGGATTCCTGGCTTAACCATGCCAGTTTCCAGCCTAGACTAGTCATTTGGCTATTCTGAAATTTGCTAGATTGGCTACAATAACTGAAAGCATTAGCAGATTGTTGTGTATCCTCCAAGGGGATACGTGACTTCAAAATGGCAAAGTGCTTCTACAACTATACCTAATGAGCAGTAGTGTTCTACTTAGAGCTGTATTGGGCATCACACATTTCAGATCTGTATGTAAATATGGGCGTCTAAGTTTTAGAGGCCAAGGCTGCCATTTAACCACAAGCTATAACCAGCCTTCTGTTTGTTTTGGTGGACTGTTGTTTTACCCTCCTTAACAAACCAGGAGAAGAGGAAGGAGATTCATTTTTGGCACATTGATGTCAGTCAGAGGAGCTGATAAAGTATAGCTTTATTATCGTGCCCTCGATTGCCATAGAGGAGCTGTTCAGAGGCAGGCGTGAATGATGTGCCCACAATGTACAGTTCCTGACAATAAACCAAAGCATAGTATGGGCCAGATGTTGTGTTCTATAGACGATGTGAATTGTTTTACAAGATGTGTTGTGCTGCCTAATAAAGAACAATGGTGACATTCAAAACATTTCTTGGAGTTTATAACAAATCTATAACTTTTAATTGTGAAATGTCTGCAGCTTCATTGAAATTCCAGAGAAAGGGTTAGTCATGCCAGTAAAGTATTTCTGCACTATTCTACAGTTTACTCAAATCAAACCTTATCAGCCAGCCAGATAAGGAAGTAGGAGGAGGAGGCCTTTACAAGTCGAGCTGACTGAGAGAAGGTGCTAGAAGTCTTGGTACAGACATTACTCAGCAAAGATCTTATAGCAAGAAGGATTTTTACACATCATTGTCTACTTGGGAGGTCATGCTCATGCCTTAAGAGTTCCCTTCACTGGAACTAAGGGGCCAAGCCCAATCCCTGAAAAACAGCCCCAGACCATAATCCCCCCTCCACCAAACCTTACACTTGGCACAATGCAGTCAGGCAAGTACTGTTCTCCTGGCAATCGCCAAACCCAGACACATCCATGCCAGACAGAGAAGGGTGATTAGTCACTCCAGAGAACACATCTCAACTTCTTTAGAGTCCAGTGGCGGCGTGCTTTACACTACTGCATCCGACGCTTTGCATTGCACTTGGTGATGTAAGGTTTGGATGCAGCTGCTCGGCCATGGAAACCCATTCCATGAAGCTCTCTATGCACTGTTGTGCCAATCTGAAGGCCACACGAAGTTTGGAGGTCTGTAGCCTTGAAGTTTGGAGGTCTGTAGATTGGATTTGATGGACTTGTGTCTTTCTTCAACCTCAAATACTATGTAGCTATTTACTCTGCAGACATTTGGCGACTTCTGCGCTCTGTGCACTTCAGCATGCGCTGACCCCGCTCTGTCATTTTACGTGGCCTACCACTTCGTGGCTGAGTTGCTGTTGTTCCCAGTTGCTTCCACTTTGTTATAATACCACTAACAGTTGACCGCGGAATATTTAGTAGCAAGGAAATTTCATGAACACCTGAATCCAATGATTTGGAGGGGTGCCCCAATACTTTTGGCAATATTGTGTGTGTGTGTGTGTGTGTGTGTGTGTGTGTGTGTTGATTTGCATTGTTTTTACATTGTATTATTGATGCATTCCCCCCCAACACCGCCGCCACCACCACCTCCTGCTTTGCTAGGAGGAAATGGATTGCTGGGACTCGGGCCCTATCAAGCCTGGATATCTGCTTTTTATTAGTGTCAGATGAGTAACTAAAATCAACAGAGCCCCGGTGCTCATCACGCTCTATACATGGATTTAAAATCTTAAAGGTATTACATCTTGAAACTGATAGTCCTCATTGATGGATCAAAGTCATTACTTTAACGTTAAGAAGTGTAGAGATTTATGGAACCACAGTATGCCAAATTCTTCATGGCTAAAAATGGACTTGGGAAACTGTGTCATTAAACCCCAGGCCTACTTCTGGTGAATGATATCTTATTCATCTAGACTGCTTTTGAAGAATTTACTTTCCACAGACCATTAACACTGCGCTGCAGGCAAATGGCTAAATACGCAAATTAAATACGTATAAGGGATCATTTTACCTGCCAAATAATTTTTCTTTCCTTCCGGTTCTGAGGTGTACCCCTACAGGTCTCGAGTGGACAGTGAAAGGAAAAGCTGCACAGTGTCCCGTCACTCTGCTCTCTCCTCTATCAGCATGTTCTTTGCACTGCAGAACAACTGATGTGGTTCCTTGTGCTGCTTCTCCTTTCTGAGCTCCGTTGCTGCACTGTGGGAGGAAGATACCAAATCAAATTTAGATACTTACACCGCTTTCATTTCAAAAAATGCATTCTGGAAGTATTACTGAATACAGAACTACATATTTTGTGTTTCTTGGTGCCGACGTGGCAGCATCCATGGAGATCTATTGATGTTATCCAGTGGCCTGATTGGACCGACATTATGAGTTTAATGACTCCACAGGTATGCTGCCATGTCAAGGCACCAGGAAAAGAAAATTACCAAAATGTAAGTGTTCAATTTCCGTAGTTTATATTTGCCTGGGGTTCAGCTTCGTCAGTGTGAGCCCAACACCGGTTCCATTTTTATGCAGTAATCTAAAATGAGAGATGATACCATAAACGCATGGATCAACTCTTCCCTTGTTTAGGATAAACCTCCGGGCATTAACCCCTCCATGACCAAGCTTTTTTCAGTTCCTGTTCCTTAATGACTGATGCACGTTTTATATTTTAACTGTGATTCTTCCGTGCCAGTAAAATACCTTCTTAAAAGGTACACACACGTGTGTGTGTGTGTGTGTGTGTGTGTATATATGTGTGTATATATATATAATGTTGTTTTTTTAGAGGACAGATAGGGATATATATTTATATCACATAGAAAACATTCTTTTCCCCAGTTTTGATTTATTATAATTTTTTTTGAAAAATAGCAGTTCAAAATGTATTTATTTGTCCTTTATTTGGTAACTCCTCACATCCCTAGGATTTCAGAAATGTTCCTGTTCTTTTCAGTTTGAAACTGAAAACTAGCATTTTTCTCTAAAAGCTAATAGTAGTCATCTGGCATACAATGCCACTTTCACCAAGTGTCACACTTGGTGACAGCAACATACTTTGAACATCACTGTCATCAGGGGGTTAAATGAATAAAAAATGAACTAATTGTAAAGGGTTAATCTCAATGTTCCTCGTACTGAAGGACGTTCTGCAAAATCAGCTTCTCTTTCATTTTCAAAGCTTAACTTAACAAACTGAAGAGAGAAGCTGATTGGTTACTATGGGCAACTGCTCCAGATTCTGTCTGTTCCAGTCTTGATAAATTACCCCAAGGTACCTACTACCCAAGCTTTAAGATTGTTAACCCTTTGTTAGGACAGACAGTCCTGGACATCTAGTTTACAACTGATAATGAGATCTGCCAACACATTATAGACAGGGATAAATATAGTAAACATAACTCCCCAGCCCCCTCAATATTACATAGAAGGGGTAAAACTAGGCTTTAAGTTATGCGGTGTGAATGGGAACACGTAACAAATATAAAGTAGGTATTATCCCAGTTTGGCTGCAAAAATGGAAATACACTATAATAACTTTGCGAAGAGCATCATACCTACTACTTTGTTTTTTCTGTTGAGGGAATGTTATGTACACTAGGGGAAAAAAAACATATTCTAGGAGCCCTTGTCACAATATCTCCCCTTCATTCCCCGGGGATATAATTTACAAATGTGAATGTTTGTCCTAATGATTTCTGTTAAAGAAGAACTCCAGGCAGATTACAAATTAACCCTTTGCAGAGGGGTTACAAAAACTGCATATAAAAGCACGTAAAGCGCATTTGTGTTTCCATGTTTGTTTGTTTTTTAACCTTTTACTGCTACTATTAACCGCTTGCCGTCCGTCCAACGTAAAATTACGGGCGAGTGGCGGATCCTTCCCGGCCGGTGGACATGATTTGGGAATGTGTACAGCCGTTACCCGGCTGTTTCATACAAGCGTTCGGCCGGCTCTATGCCCCCCCCCTGTTGCCGCTGCCGGTTATCCCGGGGTGCCGCTGTCGCCCCTGCGGTGCTCGGGACCAAGAACACGGGCTCAGCGGCTGCTTGTAGAGAGAAGGAAGAGAGATCAGCATTTCCCCCACCACTGAACTCTCCTCCTTCTCTCTCTAAAGGCTGAAGCGATGTATCACTTCCACCTTTTAGCTGTCATTTCTCTGGCTGAGAGGCAGAGAAGAAGCTGGTGAAGCAGATCTCTGCTTCATCAGCTTCTTTGGGGGTCCCTAGGTGACATTAGGGGTCTTGGGGACCTCACATAAAGAGGGCCTGTCATTTTTTTCTAGCTATCAGATTGGTGGCTATTTAGCCCCCTATGTTATAGCAAGCAAGTTAAGTGTAAAAAAAAGTTTTTAAAAGAGGTTTAACACCCCGGTCATCAAGTGGTTAAAAGATGCGTTGCAGTGTAAAAAATGCAGCCTGCTTTAAATGCAACACAAAGTACTGGTGTTAACTACCACCATTGAAAAAACACCGCTATTGGGTGGGAATGGGCCCTTAAATGCTCGTTTTTGTCTAGGGTCTAAAATAAAAAAGGATATGCTCACCTGATCCTCTGTCCTGCGGCAGTGACCGTTCAACGCCTTCCGCCCCAGCTGTAGAATGTCCCTCAGCATCCTCAAGTGCAGTGCAAGTCGATAAACCTGTATTAAACGTGAGGATATCGGCAGGGCTTAGACCATCAGAGCCCTGGGAAGAATAGGCTGCAGGGAGGGGTCTAACAGCCAGACGGGATCAAGTGAGTATATATCTTGTATTTTAGACCCTAGACTTAAACGAGCACTTAACCCTTGCAGTGCTTGAGGGGGTCTTGGGTAACCAGGTTTAATTTGTAATTTGCCTGCAGTTCTTTAAGTATCCTGCCCAACATGGCGTTACTCACCCTGTCACTCCCGCATTTCGCTTTTCTAAACTCGGGAGATGCTTTCTAGGGTGTCAAAACAACTTGTGCTTTTATGATCACTTTTTCCTGCATTTAAATGTTCCTGCTTAAAGACTCCTTTAGCCATGTTCAGTGATTGTTCACACCAAGTCCAAGCAGATCTGTTCGCGTTTTTGATGCGTTTCAGATTTAGATTAGTGTTCCAGTGCGTTTGTTGTATTGTCAGTATGCAGATCATTTTTCTGAGGTCATTTCCCTCTTCCTCTAGTAGAACTTCTCACCACAGTTCAGCTTCTGACTCGTGTCTCTCCATACCCTGGAAATATTCTTGCTGCAATTCTGCTCCATTGATCAGCTTTTCTCCTATTATTATTGTACTGAGTGTGCCTGGGATCAGATCACTCCGGACACTCTTCTACCATGGTGACAAACCGGTCTGTGCCACAATATTTGTCCGCCATGGCTGCTCTCCAAGATCACCAGACCATTAGGTCACTCCTTTCCACAGCCAGGGATGATTAGATCATCAGACTTGACCAGAAGCTTTTTTTTTTTTTTTTGGTTGGGTTCTGGTGCGTTTTAATGCTTTTTTGATGCGTTCCGGAGTGTTTACTGAGCAGAAAAAATAGTGCTTGCTGCAGTTTTTCCACATGCACTGGAAGTGAATGCACTGTTGTTTACTAGAGCCCAAAATACTATTGGATGTGTTTTTGATGCGTTCTGAAAATGCTCTGCATCTGCTCCAGACTTGGTGTTAATGGGCACTTAGAGTTTCTAATCGGATTCTGGGCGCACAGTATTCTATTTTCGCTAAATTAGATGCAGACAAACGCAGGTAAACGCAGAGTGTAAATAATACCATTGGGAATCAGTTGCATGCATTTCTATCATTCAGAAATCTGCTCTAATCACAGGTTTGACCCGGCCAGGTTCTTTCTGTAAGGGTTAGTGCACACCATATGCAGTTGTGATGCAGTCGCCAAATTGTAGGGTGGGTGCGGAAATGACCGCGGATGCCTCCGCAGAATAAATCCAGAAAATTCAAAAAAGGTCACAAGCACTCCAGCATGTAGAAAAGTCAATGTTTATTGACTTCATAGGTGTCACGTCATCAGAGCGACGTTTCGGAACAGCAAAAGTCCCTTCCTCAGGCATCCAGGGACTTCCTCTTTGTAGGTACAGCCAACACTATCACCATGCCTGCCAACAAAGCAAGCATGTCTGAGCTCCAAAACAAACGGAGGAAATGCTCTGACAGGAAAAAGGAAGTGACCTAATTGTCTAATTTAGCATTTTAGTTCAAAAAAACCAATGCATCGGAACGCATCAAAAACGTATCAAAACGGATCGCAATGCAACTCACGCAATTGTGATGCAGTTTCTGGTGTGAACTAACCCTTAATGTCTGAAGGGTCTCATTCATTCAGGTCATGGTATATCTGTAAAAAAATAAGTCAAGGCAACTGGACCTGCTGTATTTCTCTTGAAGACGTTTCACTGGTCATCCAACCAGCTTTCTCAATTCAGAATGACTTGTACAAAAAATTATCTGGGAATAAATATGGTGAATATGGAGATTATGTGGATTGGAGCGACATCCACCATATTTATTCCCAGATAATTTTTTGTACAAGTCATTCTGAATTGAGAAAGCTGGTTGGATGACCAGTGAAACGTCTTCAAGAAAAATACAGCAAGTCCAGTTGCCTTGACTTATATTTTACAGATATTTCTGTAAATGGTTGGAGATTGGTAGTGTAAAGCTGATTCTTGCTGCAGTGTTATTGCATTCTTCTTCTCCTCTCACATCCCCTCCTTTCTGATCCTCTTAAATCATTAGTTGGATGTCTGAGTAAACAGACAGAGGGAAGGAGCAGTGTTACCTGTCTTTGTTGGCTCTGACAGTAACATGATCGAAGTGCTCAGACCTGTCTGGGTGGTTAGAAATGTCACCTTTGTTTATACACTCCGTTTTGTAACTGTATCAAACCTTGCAGACTGGGGATCTCTGTATTCTCTTCACATGCAACAGAGCCTTGAGGCTGGCATTGCACATACTGCTGACCTGTGTCAGGAGGATTTGTCAGCATGGAGTGAATATAATGAAGAGTTTACAAAGTAGCTATTGTGTGCTTCTTTACTACAGTCCTGAAAATGGACGGCCTGGCACATCCACAACACCTACATGTACATGTCTAGCTCCGGTTACTTGTAACAGGATCCGGCAGCACAGCCGGGTAACTCTTCTCAAATCACAGACATGGTGGTATACTGTAGGGTTGTCACGTGCCAGCCTGACCTAAATTGTACTCTTGATGCTGCCAATCCCAAGTGTTGGAGGCCCAGAGGTTGCCCACACCCCCTCTCTACGGATTGTATGTCTCCAGGCCTCTCTGCCAGAGATCCAGCAGGTGCCCAGAGAGGAGGTACTCTGTCTATACCACACAGATTTAAACACCTCATAACACTAGAGAGATCCGTCTCCTGGAGAGTTTGTTTGCTGCTTCTTTCTGTAACTCGGGCAACAGTGACAAATCTTTCTTATTAACACTTTCTGCTTGCTGGCTCTTCAGGTATTATACTGAAAACGTTTACTTGTACTAGCTGGATACACAATGACGGAGTAACGATTGATGTAACAATCCCATCAGAAAGTGACAAGCTGTAGCTTTAGTTGGGTATTGTGTACACAAACTGCATGTAATGACTTTTTCCCCTTCAGCTGCACTCTTCTGTCACTATAATTCTGCTTGCTTCTTTCTGACTCTTCTCTTTTCTCTCTATACAGATCTACCAGGTTCAGAAGGTAATGTTTGTGTATATGTCTGGGATTCCCTACATGACTGGATGGCTGTTTTCTAGTGTCTGGCATGTGACTTATTTTTGTATTGATGTTGTTTAACAGTTTTAGAATGTTTTGTCCCTTAACCTAATATTCTAAAGATCTAAGTGGCATCCCCTAGCATGTTCTGTACCGGCCATACAAATAACAGTTGCCTCACACAGGATTTTACTGCATGCTTTGAGGCATTATATGTAGGTAATAGATTTTATTTGGGGATGTCGGACCTAATTCAGGCTTAGGTTTTATGTGTAAGTGATATATTTTACTGTGATGTGCCAAATCTAGTTCAGACATATGCAATATTATAT